AATAATAATATGTATAGCAAATGATAAAATTATTTCCTAATTGGATCTTTCAATTGAATCTCTCAATGGGATCTCTCAATGAGATCTCTCAATGAGATCTCTCAAATGGCACCTCTTAAATCGGATCTTTAAATAGGATCATTCAATGGGATCTCTAAACTGGATCTCTAAATGGGATCTCTCAGTGGGATCTCTCACATTGGATATTTAAATGGGATCTTTAAAATGGGATCTTTAAATGGGATCTCTCTGTGGAATCTATAAATTGGATCTCTCAGTGGGATCCCTCAATGGGATCTCTTATTAAATTTCAATGGCATCTCAATGGAATCACTCAATGGGATCTTTCAATGGGATCTGTCAATAGGATCTCACAGTTGGATCTCTCTATGCGATCACTTAGTGGGGTCTCACAGTTGGATCTCTCAATGGAATCGTAGTGGGATCTTTCAGTGGGATCTCAAAAGTTGATCTCTCAATGGGATCTCAATAGGATCTCTTATTGGGATCTTTAAATTGGATCCCTAAATATGATCTCTAAGTGGATCTCTCAATAAGATCTCTCAATGGAATATCTAATTGCAGTCTCTCAGTGGGAGCTCTCAATGGGAGCTCTCAATGGGGTTTTCCAAAGGCTTATCTAACTTGTATGAAATCACTTAAAATATCTTTTACAAAGATAGCACCTACGTGGTCGTGCTTGACTGACGTTGATGCTAAACAATAAGTTGCTTTGTTCGAAACTGAACAGCATGAGGACCCATTCCTGAAATAAGCCCATTTCTGAACTAAGCCCATTGCTAAAATAAGGCCATTCGTGAAATAGGCCCAATCCTGAAATAGATGCCTTTCCTGAAATAAGCCCATGCCTGAATTAAGGCTATATCTATCATAGGTCCATTAATGAAATAAGCCCATGCCTGAATTAAGGCTATATCTATCATAGGTCCATTAATGAAATAAGCCCATGCCTGAATTAAGGCTATATCTATCATAGGTCCATTAATGAAATAAGCCCATGCCTGAATTAAGGCTATATCTATCATAGGCCCATTCCTGAAATGGGCCCAGTCCTGAAATAGGCCCATTCCTAAAATAGGCCCATTCCTGAAATAGTCCCATTCCTGAAATAGCCCCATTCCTGAAAAAGGCTCATTCCTGAAATAGGCCCATTCCTGAAATAGGCCCATTCCCGAAATAGGCCCATTCCTGAAATAGGCCCATTCCTGAAATAGGCCCAGATGAATATGGAACATACATTTTCCATACACTGAACCGTCTTGTCTTTGCTGCATTCACCTCAAAGTAATTATCGTAAAATGAAATTTGAAGTCCGACCTTCGGACGCCTGGACACAGTGTTACTTATTATAGAGTTGTCATTTCTCTTTGACATGTGACGTAGCTGTAAAGTCTAGTGTCACACTTAGGTACAGGGCTGTATTGTAGGCTGCTTAGGTACAGGGCTGTATTGTAGGCTGCTTAGGTACAGGGCTGTATTGTAGGCTGCTTAGGTACAGGGCTGTATTGTAGGCTGCTTAGGTACAGGGCTGTATTGTAGGCTGCTTAGGTACAGGGCTGTATTGTAGGCTGCTTAGGTCTAGGTTGTATTGTAGGCTGCTTAGGTCTAGGTTGTATTGTAGGCTGCTTAGGTCTGGGCTGTATTGTAGGCTGCTTAGGTACAGGGCTGTATTGTAGGCTGCTTAGGTCTAGGTTGTATTGTAGGCTGCTTAGGTCTAGGATGTATTGTAGGCTGCTTAGGTCTAGGCTGTATTGTAGGCTGCTTAGTTCTAGGCTGTATTGTAGGCCGCTTAGGTCTAGGCTGTCTTGTAGGCTGCTTAGGTCTAAGCTGTCTTGTAGGATGCTTAGGTCTAGGCTGTATTGTAGGCTGCTTAGGTCTAGGCTGTCTTGTAGGCTGCTTAGGTCTAGGCTGTATTGTAGGCTGCTTAGGTACAGGCAGTATTGTAGGCTGCTTAGGTCTAGGCTGTCTCTCACTGCCCCTATCTTTCTCTCACTCCCCTATTTGTCTCTCACTCTCTCACTTTTAATCTCTCACTTTTTCCCTATTTTTGTTTATCTCAATCCCTCCTATATGTCTCTCAATCTCTCCCTATCTGTCTCCCCCATATTTGTCTCTTACTTTCTCCTTATCTGTCTCTCACTCCCCCATATTTGTCTCTTACTTTCTCCCTATCTGTCTGTCATTCCTCCTATCTGTCTCTCATTCCCCTTTTTTGTCTCTTACTCTCTCCCTATCTGTCTCTCACTCTTTCCTAATCTGTTTCTCCCTCTCTCCCTATCTGTCTCTCCATCTCTCCATCTCTCCAAAAATGTCTCTCCCCATATCTGCCTCTCACTACCCCTTTTTGTTTCTTACTCTCCCCCTATCTGTCTCTCCCTCTCTCCCTATCTGTGTCTCCCTCTCCCCCATCCGTCTCTCACTCCACTTTTTTATCTCTTACTCTTTTGTCTCTTTCTCTTTCATTATCTGTCTCTCATCTCGTCCTATCTGCCTCACAATCTCTCCCTATATGTCACTCACTCCAACATATTTGTCTCTTACTCTCTCCCTAACTGTCTCACTCTCTCCCTATCTGTCTCTCACTCACAACTTTTTATCTCTTAATCACTCCCTATCTGTCCCTCCCTCTCTCCCCCTCTGTCTCTCACTCTCTCGCTATCTGTCTCTCACTCTCTCCCTATCTGTCTCTCACTCTCTCCCTATCTGTCTCTCACTCTCTCCCTATCTGTCTCTCATTCCCCCTATATGTCGTTCACTCCCCTCTCTCTGTCTCTCCCTTTCTCCCTATTTGTCTCTCATTTTCCAATCTGTCTCTCATTCCCCCTTTTTGTCTCTTACTCTCTCCCTATCTGTCTCTCACTCTTTCCCTATCTGTCTCTCCCTCTCTCCATATCTGTCTCTCCCTCTTTCCCGAAATGTCTCTCCCTCTCCCCCTATCTGTCTCTCACTCCACTTTTTGGTCTCTTACTCTCTCCCTATCTGCCTCTCCCTCTCTCCCTATCTGTGTCTCCCTCTCTCCTTATCTGTCTCACACTCCCCCTTTTTGTCTTTTACTCTTTCCCTATCTATCTCTCATTTTCTCCCTATCTGTCGCTGCCTCTCTCCCTATCTGTCTCTCCCTCTCTCCCTATCTGTCTCTCATCCCCTTTACAGTCTCTTACTCTCCCTTTTTGTCTCTTACTCTCCACCTATCTGTCTCTCCCTCTCTCCCTATCTGTCTCTCACTCTCTCCCTAAATGTCCCTCCCTCTCTCCCTATCTGTTTCCCATTCCCCCTAGCTGTCTCTTACCCCCCCTTTTGACTCTTAGTCTCTCCCTATCTGTCTCACCCTTTCTCCCTATCTGTCTCACCCTTTCTCCCTATCTGTCTCACCCTTTCTCCCTATCTGTCTCTCACTCTCTCCCTATCTGTCTCTCCCTCTCTCCCTATCTGTCTCTCATTCCCCCTAACTGTCTCTCACTCCCCCTTTTTGTCTCACCCTTTCTCCCTATCTGTCTCACCCTTTCTCCCTATCTGTCTCTCACTCTCTCCCTATCTGTCTCTCCCTCTCTCCCTATCTGTCTCTCATTCCCCCTAACTGTCTCTCACTCCCCCTTTTTGTCTCTTACTCTCTCCTTATCTGTCTCTCCCTCTCTCCCTCTCTGTCTCTCACTCTCTCCCTATCTGTCTCTCACTCCCCCTATCTGTCTCTCACTCTCTCCCTATCTGTCTCTTACTCTCACCCTATCTGACTCTCGCTATCTCCCTATCTGTCTCTCACCCTCTCCCTTTCTGTATCTCCCTCTCCCCCTATCTGTCTACCATACCCTCTATCTGTCTCTCACTCCCCCTTTTTGTCTCTTAAGCTCTCCTTATCTGCCTCTCCCTCTCCCCTCTCTGTCTCTCCCTCTCTCCCCATCTGTCTCTCACTCCCCCCTATTTGTCTCTCACTCTCTCCCTATCTGTCTGTCACTCCTCGTTTTTGTCTCAAACTCTCTCGCTATCTTTCACTCACTCTCCCTATTTGTCTCTCACTCTCTCTATCTGTCTCTTGCTCTCTTCCTATCTGACTTTCACTCCCCGCTATTTGTCTCTAACTCTCTCCCTATCTGTCTCTCCCTCTCTCCCTATCTGTCTCTCACTCTCTCCCTATCTGTCTCTCCCTCTCTCCCTATCTGTCTCCCATTCCCCCTAACTGTCTCTCACTCCCCCTTTTTGTCTCTTACTCTCTCCTTATCTGTCTCTCCCTCTCTCCCTCTCTGTCTCTCACTCTCTCCCTATCTGTCTCTCACTCCCCCTATCTGTCTCTCACTCTCTCCCTATCTGTCTCTCACTCTCTCCCTATCTGTCTCTCCCTCTCTCCCTATCTGTCTCTTACTCGCCCTATTTGTCTCTTACTCCCCTCCTATCTGTCTCTTAATCTCCCTATCTTTCTCTCACTCTCTCCCTATTTGTCTTTCACTTTCTCCATATCGATCTCTCACTCTCATTCTCTCTATTTATAAACCTGTTATTAAATCACACTAATGGACATTTGCGTCAACCATTTAGATTCCTAAATTAAAGTCGCCAGCATATATCAGTTTAAGCCTAGCCACATTCCACTTGTGGAGTGCCATCTTCTAAGACTATGCCACGTGCCACACGTCCAATGAAATGTTCCCTCGTTGCAATGCGTCAGAAAAAAAATTTGAACTACGACCTCTGCTATGCTTAAGTCAACTAAGATTCAGCAAAAGCGGTTCTGCCACTAATATGTTGTGAAAACCCTATTTTCATTATAATATTTTGGTAGCTTTTTTTTTTTTTTTTGTGACTAAAAGTTGGGTTTTTTCCTGAATTTTTTTTCAAATTTTATATATATTTTTGTTTTCTGAGAATTCTCAAATATGTTTTTATCTCTCTCCCCGCCTCAATAGTTTTTTTTTAAAAAAAGGGATTTATTGAACTCATATATAAGAACCCTTGTATTTATCATCTATCATAAGGCCCTGCTAACTCTAGCCCACAATGCGTTTATGCACTAACGTAACTTGTAACCAGTAAGCGGCAAGAGAATGAGGTACTGTGCCGTCTTTCTGACTTTGTCGGCTTGCCTTGTATTACCAGATTGTACGTATTTTCTTACAATTTAAGATATTTAATGTTGATATTAACATGCCTGTATTTTCAACATTCAAGTTTAACAGCTTACTTATAGTGCAGTTTTTTGTTCGCCACTGTAAGGGCACACTGTAAGGATACAGCTGTAAGGAGACAGCTGTCAGGACACAAATTTAGGGGAACAGCTGTAAGCAATTGTAAAGACACAGCTGTAAAGGACACAACTTTAAGGACACAGCTGTAGGACACAGCTATAAGGACGCAACTGTATGGACAAAACTGTGAGGACATAGATGTAAAGATACAGCTGTAAGGAAAAAATGTAAGCAAACAGCTGTAATAAATTGCAAGGACACAACTGTACGGACAAAGATTTAAGAACACAACTGTAAGGACACACCTTTAAGGACATATTTGTATGGACACAGCTGTATTGACACATCTGTAAGGACACAACTTTAAGGACACAGCTATAATGATACAACTGTAAGTACTCCACTGTTAGGATACAACTATAAGGACACAGCTGTAAGGACACAGCTGTAAGAACACAGCTGTAATGAACTGCAAGGAACCAACAATAAGGACACAATTGTATGGAAAAAACTGTCATAACACAACTGAAAGGATTAAGGATACAACTGTAAGGACAAAACTGTAGGTACATAACTCTAATGACACAACAATGAAGACACAACTTTAAGGACACAACTGTAAGGACACAACTGTTAGGACACAGCAGTCTCTAAACTCAAATGGTTATTTTGAACTGTGTCATCTCATCCATTTCAGGTGTCGAGAGCTACACCAGGAGGTCGGAGCACAAGAGCCTGAACATTGGGGAGACGCTCAATTTGACTTTGAGCAATGAAACACTTTTTAGACCTGGAGAGTGGACGGATGATATGCAAAAAACGATAACGGCGATGTATCTAGACTACACGTGTGCTGGTTGCCCGTCATTTATGAAAGTTGTCTCTAGGCAGAAGACGGTTAGTCAAAATTTAACTACAGAAATGTTTACATTTTTTACACCAATGTTGTAATTAATGCAACAAATATGTTTCTGGCCAATTACATTCAGTATAGATGTGTAAATGAACGATTACTAAGGGAAACAATTGAAATTACATTTTAAGACTATCCACAGGTCCTTGTTTAATTAACATACAATATTTTTATGATGAGACAGCGAGAACATCTGAGAATTGCAAAATATTAATTTCATGGGCCATAGAATTAGGTGATTGCATCCAGAACCGGATCAAACAGCTCCTGAAGTTCTCGGCAGTTTCCCTGATCTATTTAGGATATTGATATTTTTTTTAATTATCATGATTTTAGATTAGCGTGGTCTAGATTGTAACTGTCTAGATGTGCCTAGTCTATCTAGATTGGAACTGTCTAGATGTGGCTGATCTATCTAGATTGTAACTGTCTGGATGTAGCTGGTCTATCTAGATTGTAACTGTATGGATGTGGCTGGTCTATCTAGATTGTAACTGTCAAGATGTGACTATTCTATCTAGATTGGAACTGTCTAGATGTGGCTGGTCTATCTAGATTGTAACTGTCTAGATGTGGCTGGTCTATCTAGATTGTAACTGTCTAGATGTGGCTGGTCTATCTAGATTGGAACTGTCTAGATGTGGCTGGTCTATCTAGATTGTAACTGTCTAGATGTGACTGGTCTATCTAGATTGGAACTGTCTTGATGTGGCTGGTCTATCTAGATTGTAACTGTCTAGATGTGGCTGGTCTATCTAGATTGGAACTGTCTAGATGTGGCTGGTCTATCTAGATTGTAACTGTCTAGATGTGGCTGGTCTATCTAGATTGGAACTGTCTAGATGTGGCTGGTCTAGCTCGGTAAAATGAGGTGGCTGGTCTAGCTCGGTAAAATGAGCGTGTCGGTGGTCCCAACAAGAATTTCGCCTCTACGTGGCGTGACTAGTAGGGTAGACTTGACTATCCCGAAGCTAAAAAAACTCACCTCTCTACGTCTGTCTCCCAAGGTGAAGGGGGAGGTTACTTGTAACTTTCACCCGGGAGAAGGTAAAAAATAAAGCCTAAAGAATATCATTTTTACATGGCTAGTAAAATACACATTAATCTAAGCGAGAGGAACTCGAATCCCCTCCTCCCCTGCAGCAGATCGGTGACGGGGCTCAGGCCAACTGCAGGCGCTGGTGCTACTGGGGGCACTAGGCAAGGTGCCGCTGGTCACCTCCCCAAAAATTAGTAGTTGTGCAGCTTAACTGCAACGGGGTCAGTGGGAAAATCCCTGAGCTCACCAAACTACTCCACAGCCAGGAAGTGGACGTAGCTCTACTTCAGGAATCCCTACTGAAAAAGCCCCCATTGCACGTCTCGGGCTTTTCAGTTGACCGCTGCACTTGCGTAAAGTGCCGAGTTTTGGTAACTATTGTGAAAAACCAACTCACAGGAGAACTGGTAGAGAGCAGAAACATTGGTGTGACGGATACTCTGACCCTGAGAGTAGTCGTAGGAGGTAAGTCCTTTACCATTAGTAACATTTATAACACCCCACCCCCCCAGGGACACTCTATGCCTGCCCATGCAGGGCACAACACTTTTTAGTTATAGCTGGGAATTTTAATGCCCATGTGGGGGATATGGGCTATCCCGACACAAACGCCCCAGGGCGCTACTTGTAGGAGGTCGAGCTCACGACCAACCTCACCAGGCTGCAAAACGGCAACAGTGAACCAACATTGCTTCACACGGGCAACAGTGCCACGTCACGCCACGACGTAACACTGGTCTCGGCCGAACTCGAGGCGAAGACCCAGTGCGAAGTCCTTGATGAGGTTGGCATTGACCACAGACCTACCCTCATTACAATTTGTGTTGCGCTTGCAGAGCCAAGGTTAGCTAGGAGACACTGGCTGTCGCCAAAGCCAAGTGGACTCTGTTACCGGGTGAGGACACATAGTATGATTGCGGAATCAACAGGGATTCCCATTAACTCCAAAAGCACCGATGCTGCATACGACGACGTTGTGAGTGGTATCCTCGCAGTAGCAAGGAAAACAGTCCCAAGAACCAACGGAAACCGCAAGTTTCGCCACTTTTGGAACAAAAGGTTGGCGGAGATGGCCCTTGAAGAGAGCTCGGACCAAAGCCGGAAAGTTGAAGATGGCTGATGCTCGTGCGGCTTACAACAAACTGACAGCAGAAGTCTGAAAGGAGGTTGATAGGGCTAAAAAAGAAAAACGGGTTGATAGGTGCGGAAAACTCGATCTGAAAGACGGCAAAAAGGTCTGACGAATGATGGACTCGTTATCCTGCACGGGAAAGGTCCGAAATCTGCGTCCATTGCAAACGATGACAGGCACGGACCCACAGATGCCAAAAGAGCCGATGCTCTCAACAAGCATTTTGCAAAGATCAATTGGAAGCAGAAAGAGATCAAAGAGAGCCAAAACCTTGACCGTCTCCGGTGAAATTGAGAAGTGGCCCAGCAGTGGGGACCGCATGCAGAAGTCTTTACCGCACCTGTCACTATGATTGAATTGAAAACCGCCATCGACAAGTGCGACGCCGCCAAGGCACCAGGTCCGGACAAGATCTGTAAGGAGATGATTAAAAACCTTGGCCCAATAGCTAGGACAGAGCTATTGAAAATCATAAACAGATCGTGGTAACGGGAATCCTACCCAGAGCTTGGCTTAGCGCTATCATCGTCCCTGTTCCCAAAGAAGGGAAGAAACTCGATCTAACGACCGGCTATTGTCCAATATCCCTAACGTCGTGTTTGAGGAAAGTAGCCGAGAGAATGGTTAACCAGAGGCTCTACTGGTACCTGGAGAGTACCGAGAGTCTCACCCCTATTCAGGCGGGCTTCCGCAAGGGAATGCATCCTGAAGTCCAGGTGCTCCGTCTTCTCCAGTCCATAACAGATGGTTTCCCGAAAAAGTCGCATACGGGGGCTGTATTTTTTGACATCCAGCAAGCCTATGACCGAGACTGGAGGTCCGGTCTATTATTGAAATTGCAAAAGTTGGGAGTCGCTTCAAATTTGTATAGGTGGATCTCCGTTTTTTTTCACAAACCGGACGATTAAGACACAATTCGGCAGTGAAACCTCCAGGAAAAGAACACTTGAGGAAGGGCTCCTTCAAGGGTCAGCCATCAGTTGTACTCTTTTCCTTACATACATCAATGACCTGCCACAAATTTTAGCGACCAGTGCTGCTATGTATGTCGATGATTTGGTTGTCCTGAGTACCGGTAAGGATGTCTACCGCCTGCAAACGCTATTACAGCAAGACCTTTCTGCTATCAACAGGTGGCACCAGGAAATCAAAACCGAGAAGACGGTCCATTCACTATTTACCAACGTGCGGACCATTCTCAAACAGGAGATCGAGCTCAAGGTGGGCGATGCAGCGCTCAATGGGACAAGCAACCGGTTTACCTGGGAGTTGGATTGTATCAAAAGGTGCAAATGCATAATTTTGTACAGGACCTCTTCTCCCAGGCAACCACCAAGCTCAACCTGGTGAAAAAGTTGGCTTGCAAAAGTTGGGGCGTGGGCTCAAGTACTACGCTTTGAGCTCTATTCCTAAGAAGTGTAAGGTCGGTGATGACCTACAGCATGCCGGTCCAATCCTTTGCAAGCAAGACCGCATTGGAAAAATTTGGCCGAATCCAGAATCAGGCTCTGAGACTCATCTGTGGCGCATTCCAGACCACACCCACAGCTGCAGTAGAGGTCTTGGCCAACGTAGAACGAACCACTACAAATCAGGAGGGAAAAATCAATATTAATCACCGTAGAGAGGTACCGGCGGCTGGACAAAAATGAACCGGCCTTCCAAATGCAGAATAACTGGGTTGGCGGCAGGTGACTAAAGAAGTCCTCTTTCATGCACCAGGTCATGGAGCTGGAAAGGACAGTTGCCTGCCCCTAAATAGAGAAAGTCTGACCCTAATACCAGTTAATCTGCCATATGGTGAATCATTACGTCGCTCCATACATTTGGCCTTGACCGATGCAGAAGTGACTAAACGTAGCCCTTAACATGTTCAGAAAGCGGCTGCCCTTGAGACCATGGATGTGCTCGCACACATACCTGTTAAAGTGTTCACGGACGGCTCAGCCAACTTGAGAGAAAGAACTGCTAGATACTGTGCGCTTATACTGCATCCAGCGGGAGGACCACCAACAGAAGAGCTCTCGGGGCCCTGTGAGACTGCAGCGTCAAATTTTGATGCGGAGCTTATGGCTATACACAGGGCCTTGGAAAGAATTCATAACACATTGAAGGGGACGGAGCATACGGAGCTCGATGCATTTGTCTACTCAGGCTCAAGATCTGCTCTCGAGATCTTGGGAAAGAGACAGGTTACCACACTTTTGGTCGACGTCATCACCGATGACGTGTGCAAAATTGGTGAACTAGGGGGCAAGGTAAAAATACAGTGGATACCTGGCCACGTCAACATCAGTGGAAACGATAGAGCAGACACTTTGGCGAAAACCGGGGCTGCCCAGCCTCAGCCAGAGGCACCAATGACTTATTTGGGAATTAAAGTCTTGCTGACGGACCATTTCAGGAAGAAGTGGTACAGGCAATGGGCAGATGACACGACCGCCAGAGGAGTCTATTAAAACTTGCCCACTCTTAGCAAACAAAACCCATGGTGGGGATTAGGCCACAGACAGCAGAGTTAGGTGACGCAAATGCGCACCGAGCACTGCCCCATAGGCACATTTTTCTGGCGGCTGGATAACAACAAAGATCCCACCTGCCGGCATTGCAGCCTGGACCCGGAGACTCTGGAGCATCTGTTGACCGAATGTCCCTCACTAGATCTCCCGGGGGAAGCCAGGGCTGTTGGAGGACCCTTTGTGAGGAAAATTTTGTATGGCTTAGCTCAACAGATGGAGTTGATAGCCAATTTACTAGCCGTGGTCATAAGAGAATAATCTCAGACCCTCACGAGGATATGTGTGTTAGTTATCTGGTCTAGCTAGATTGTAACAGTGTAGATGTTCCTGGTTAATGCATTATAATATAATAAATTCAAAAATGAAATGGTCCATCCACTGTTATTATTTACATCTCGGTGTAAGAAGCCAGAGTATACCCAAAGTTCGGACTGGACCCTGGGTTAAAGGTGCCTAAGCCTTAATTTACACAGAGTATATTCTGGCACAGGCTAAGTTACATCCTTGGTCAGTTCATATTCCTCCAGGCCAGATTATACCACCCAGGACATCAGCAGTGTTCAATAATGAACACACACATAACCAAACTTTTCTACATTTTACTACGGATTTCAATTTGTCAGATTAGTTAAGAGAGAAGGCTAACTTTAAAGAAAGTTATAAACATGAACACATTGACTTTTATAACTTAACCAGAAAAAGATTTCATCCCCCAAGTTCAACTGTCTAGAGCGTAATTCTCAGTAGTCTTTGCACATTCCAGAAACAACATAATAACACATAAGTGCGCATAGCACACTAATCCAGGGAAATTGAACATTAAAAAATATAATTAGGCTGTCCATAAGACATTTTAATGAACCTAACCTTTAATTTTAATTTGAATTCCCTCAACTGTAATAAACTGGCCCCAAATTTGCATTTAGCAACCATCCCTTCTTTTAACTGGCTCACATTTTTAAATAAATTCCTTGCAATTTGAATTTAATGGCCCTCATTTTAATGAATGGCCCCCACATTTTTTTTCTTCCCCAATATGTTTAGTAAACAGTCCAACACTTTTAACTAACTTGAACACATACGTCTTAAAAAACACGTTTCCCATTTTTAATAATTTGGAGTACATTTTTAATAAATTGGAGCACATTTTTAATAAATTGAAGCACATTTTTAATAAATTGGAGCACATTTTTAATAAATTGGAGCACATTTTTAATAAATTGGAGCACATTTTTAATAAATTGGACCACATTTTTAATAAATTTGACCACATTTTTAATAAATTGGACAAAACTTTTAATAAATTAAACCATGCTATATAATCATTTATAAAAAAGAACAAGGTGCCGTATTTATTCAATGGCCTTATAAATGTTACTATTGTGCTTCCAATACGTAATTCTTTTTCAAGATCAAACATTTTATTATTGTTGAATCTTAGGACGATTGGGCACTTCGTGTTCAAGATGAGCATTCGAAATTCATCGTCTCCCGCATTGGTGACCAGTGGGTTTATGTTACTAAAGCCAACATGCAGACTTTTCACAGCGGAGTTTTCAAAGTCAGAATAGAGTTCACAGGGCCACACGAGCCTATGGAATTTTTGACGCTAGTAACGGTGGAAGGTAATCATACACATAATATTATTTTAAAAAAGTTGATTTTAAACTTGAATATGACATGTCAAAATAAAGTTTTGGTGGTATCTTAATACAAATAATCTCATCAACGGAATAAAATATGTATAACAGATTGTTACAGCTATTAAAAAAATATGAGCTCAATATAATGTCGTAAAACTAGATAAGAAAAAAGAGTTCACATATTTAAGTTTCTTCATAATGTGCACAGTAGATGGTGTCTTTTAGTAACAATAATAATGTTGGACACTTTTATGTTTTCTCGGATAACCACAAAAACAAATTTGTTTTTATGTATAACATTAGGCGCAACATCTAACATATGCCTACTTACTACTTTATGCCAAACAAGCAACATATGCATACTTATTACTTTATGCGCAAACAACTAACATATGCCTACTTACTACTTTATGCCAAACAACTAACATATGCCTACTTACTACATTATGACAAACATCTAACATATGCATACTTACTACTTTATGCCAAACAACTAACATATGCATACTTACTACATTATGACAAACATCTAACATATGCATACTTACTACTTTATGCCAAACAACTAACATATGCATACTTACTACATTACGACAAACAACTAACATATGCATACTTACTATTTTATGCCAAACAACTAACATATGCATACTTACTACTTTATGCCAAACAACTAACATATGCATACTTACTACATTATGACAAACATCTAACATATGCATACTTACTACTTTATGCCAAACAACTAACATATGCATACTTACTACATTATGACTAACATCTAACATATGCATACTTACTACTTTATGCCAAACAACTAACATATGCCTACTTACTACCTTATGCCAAACAACTAACATATGCCTACTTACTACTTTATGACAAACATCTAACATATGCATACTTACCACTTTATGCCAAACAACTAACATATGCATACTTACTACATTATGACAAAATCTAACATATGCATAATTACTACTTTATGCCCAACAACTAACATAAGCCTACTTACTACTTTATGCCAAACAAGCAACATATGCATACTTACTACTTTATGCCAAACAACTAACATATGCCTACTTACTACTTTATGCCAAACAACTAACATATGCATACTTTATTACATTATGAACAACATCTAACATATGCATACTTACTACTTTATGCCAAACAACTAACATATGTCTACTTACTACTTTATGCCAAACAACTAACATATGCCTACTTACTACATTATGACAAACATCTAACATATGCATACTTACTAGTTTATGCAAAACAACTAACATATGCATACTTACTACATTATGACAAACATCTAACATATGCATACTTATTACTTTATGCCAAACTACTAACATATGCATACTTACTACATTATGACAAACATCTAACATTTGCATACTTACTACTTTATGCCAAACAACTATCATATGCATACTTACTACTTTATGCCAAACAACTAACATATGCATACTTACTACTTTATGCCAAACAACTAACATATGCATACTTACTACATTATGACAAACATCTAACATATGCATACTTACTACTTTATGCCAAACAACTAACATATGCATACTTACTACATTATGACAAACATCTAACATATGCATACTTACTACTTTATGCCAAACAACTAACATATGCATACTTACTACATTATGACAAACATCTAACATATGCATACTTACTACTTTATGCCAAACAACTAACATATGCCTACTTACTACTTTATGCCAAACAACTAACATATGCATACTTACTACTTTATGCCAAACAACTAACATATGCCTACTTACTACTTTATGCCAAACAACTAACATATGCCTACTTACTACTTTATGCCAAACAACTAACATATGCCTACTTACTACATTATGCCAAACAACTAACATATGCCTACTTACTACTTTATGCCAAACAACTAACATATGCAAACTTACTACATTATGCCAAACAAATAACATATGCATACATACTACATTATGCCAAACAACTAACATATGCAAATTACTACAATAGGTGTAATTATTAACATATGCCTCTTTATTACTGTATGCGTAACAACTTATATATGCACATTACTACAAAATGCTCAATAAGTAACATATGCAAATTTACTACAGAATGCCCAAAAAGCAACATATGCATATTACTATAATATGCCCAACAAATAAAATTTGAATATTTACATCACCATGCTCAACATCTAACATATGCATATTTACTAAAGTATACATAACAACTAACATATGCATATTTAATAAAGTATACATAACAACTAACAGATGCATATTTAATAAAGTATACATAACAACTAACATATGTATATTTACTAAAGTATACATACCAACTAACATATGCATATTTAATAAAGTATACATAACAACTTACATATGCATATTTACTAAAGTATACATAACAACTAACATATGCATATTTAATAAAGTATACATAACAACTAACATATGCATATTTACTAAAGTATACATAACAACTTACATATGCATATTTACTTAAGTATACATAACAACTAACATATGCATATTTACTAAAGTATACATAACAACTACCATATGCATATTTAATAAAGTATACATAACAACTAACATATGCATATTTACTAAAGTATACATAACAACTAACATATGCATATTTAATAAAGTATACATAACAACTAACATATGCATATTTACTAAAGTATACATAACAACTAACATATGCATATTTAATAAAGTATACATAACAACTAACATATGCATATTTACTAAAGTATACATAACAACTAACATATGCATATTTACTAAAGTATACATAACAAGTAACATATGCATATTTACTAAAGTATACATAACAACTACCATATGCATATTTAATAAAGTATACATAACAACTAACATATGCATATTTACTAAAGTATACATAACAACTAACATATGCATATTTAATAAAGTATACATAACAACTAACATATGCATATTTACTAAAGTATACATAACTACTAACATATGCATATTTGCTAAAGTATAGATAACAACTAACAAATGCATATATACGTAACTACTAACTTACGCATATTTACCACAGTATGCGTAACAACTAACATATTACGCCTTTTTACTATATTATACGTAACAGCTAACAATATTAATACTTACTCACCTTATCAGGGGTGTACACCATAATCAGACACGAGTTTCCGGTAGTTAAAATTAAGCAATGGCGGGCAGTTTTAAATGGAAGTAGGTCTTTCGACGGAGGAAAAAGTACTTATAATAGAGCATTTATTTCGCTCATATGTAAATGGTAATAAAAAAGACCAAATATTTTTTCCAAAATACATTATCCCAGATTACATATCTGGGTTCTTCAAGTGTTGTCCCAATTGTATTCGTTGCGAAATTGTTTCTTTTTTTCTTAAAAAATTGTTTGAAAAGAGATTTCTCTTATGATGAGTTTCAAGACTGGTCGTCTTTGACAAGTAGTGTGAATTCAGTAAGTGTTTGAGAACTCATATAGTCGTGTTTGACATGTAGTGTGAATGCAGCAACTGTTTGAGAACTCATATTGTCGTCTTTGACATGTAGTGTGAATACAGCAACTGTTTAAGAACTTATGCGAGATTTTCCATCGAGACAGTAACTATCCACCAGACCTCCACCTCTGGTTGACACAATACAGTTCCAGAAAGGGGAAACTTTTACAAGGAGTAATCATAATTACGTTACATAATGCTTTCTACTGAAATCTGTTTCTGAAAAAATGTTCTTTCAACGTTTCCAAACTCTCGAACACTTACGTATAGGAAAAAACTAAGGCTCAACAATTAATCCATTTTTTATTTTAAAAAACTCGAGTTATTTTTTGCCAACAACATCGGGAAATGGCATAGTACTTTTCTTTAAGTGGGTCACGTGGTGTTGCAAAGTTAACCATAACAAGTGTGCGTTTAGGATGCCGGGGTGTCCGTACTGCTAGTTTTAGCACACTTTCCACTTACTCATTTCTTAATTATATGACCCTGGTACTAAAAATACTTAAAGTCACATTTTTGTCAAAACCAATCTAAACTGTGATATTTTCTTATCCGGTTTTTCCAAGTGTAATGCGTAAATTTGAACACATTTAAATGAAATGTGCCCGAGTCCTTTATTTAAACAAGACAAAATTTGAAAATGATCACATTTTATAAAAACGAAACGAAAAATAGAACTTGATTATATCAAAACGTGTACTTTATGACTTAAGTATACGTTTAGCCATTAGGTAAAATTTTTTTTTTTACTCAGCGTTCTCCCGTGGTTTTCTTTGATTGTTCTTTCAGGTCCCGAGGCGACCAAAAAGTCCGGGTACGAAGGACCACTGTTGTTTGCTCTCCAGTTGGCCATTACCATACAAATCATTGGTCTGTTTGTGCAGTCCTACAGATTCCTGCGCTTGTTGTTCGCCAGACAGGATGACGAGGAGAGGGAGTTTGTGGAGAGAGTTGTGCATGGGAGGAGGTTCTTTTAGTAAGTCTGTAATAACTTTAATCCAACGACAATGTCAACCAACTTATATATGTTGTACATAATTCATTGTCTCAAAATGAAAACTAAAGCATGTCTTAAAGCTTCACTTAAAAAGACATGGCAAATGAAATACATTGATAAAAAATGCACAATTTATAAAACTTTGTAATTTTTTATTTAATTTTAAAAATTGGTGGCCGGAGGGCGTTGTTTGCAAGATACATTAAAAAAATTATTTACTATATATTTTTAATTTAAAGTTTACAGAATTAAGTCTAAGAATAAATCATTCCTTACTAAACATTTGACTCATACAGTTCACAACAGCTGATTCAATAGCTCTGGTCTGTACAAGAGAATTGGTTCAATAGCTCTGGTCTGTACAAGAGAATTGGTTCAATAGCTCTGGTCTGTACAAGAGAACTGGTTCAATAGCTCTGGTCTGCACAAGAGAACTGGTTCAATAGCTCTGGTCTGTACAAGAGAACTGGTTCAATAGCTCTGGTCTGTACAAGAGAACTGGTTCAATAGCTCTGGTCTGTACAAGAGAATTGGTTCAATAGCTCTGGTCTCTACAAGAGAATTGGTTCAATAGCTCTGGTCTGTACAAGAGAATTGGTTCAATAGCTCTGGTCTGTACAAGAGAATTGGTTCAATAGCATTGGTCTGTACAAGAGAATTGGTTCAATAGCTCTGGTCTGTACAAGAGAATTGGTTCAATAGCTCTGGTCTGTACAAGAGAATTGGTTCAATATCATTTGTCTGTACTGGACAGTTGGTTCAATGGCATTGGTCTGTCTTGGACAGTTGGTTCAATAGATTTTGGTTTTTCTTGATGTTTAAACTTTGCTGGATTGAACCCACAAATTGAATTTTTCTTTAAAAAAGGGATATAACTGTATAAGCATGTTATATATTTGACCAGATTCAAGTTACCTCCCTTTTTAAAATATATTTGTTCTCACTTAGTAAGTTCCTAGAATAACAAATATTTTTTCTATTGTGGTTCATACACTCAATTTTCTTGTTCTTTTCATCAAATAATTGTGACGAATTTATTGATGTTTAAGAATCTCTTATATATATATACATATTTATTTATATATATACTAATAAAGGGCATGGCCCTCAATCACTCACTGTCTGACTCATCACTAATTCTCCAACTTCACCTGTAGGTAGAAGCCTGAAATTCGGCAAGCTTATTCCTTAGAGCTTATTTACAAAAGTTAAGCAGGTTTCTTTTCGAAAATATATACCGTTTGGGGTTGGGGGCCCAAAATGTCATTTTTTCCCTATATGAGTTTTATAAATAAAATGATCAACAAATACTGCTGCATGAATAGATGGATCTTTGACAAAACATAATATACATTCATTTGATTATCCATAGTCAAATACTGAAGTGTAATTTATATTTAATATCCATTCATCTGGGGCCGGGGTCCCATTTCATTTTTCCTTATATGAGTTATATTAAGATCAATAGGCTTAGTACTCCTACATGAATAGATGGATCTTGATCAAACTTAGTAATCATGCTCATGATTTTCCATATTCAAATACTGAAGGGTAATGAACTCATAATATGCATACATCTGGTGCCAGGGGCCCATTTCATTTTGTATTAAAAAATCTACATTCTCCAACTTACCCTGTAGATAGAAGCCTGAAATTTGGCAGGCCTATTCCTCACAGCTCACTTACAAAAGTTAAGCAGGTTTCATTTAAAAAAATCTACCCGGAACGGTGACAGCCTGGGACCCCGAATTCGGGTTTTTCCCTAATATGAGCTATACAAAAAAAAATTAACAACAAATACTGCTTCATGAATAGATGGATACTGACAAAACTTAAAATACATGAATTTTGTTTTCCATATTCAAATATCGAAGCTAACTTAAAACATAATATTCATTCCTCTGGGACAGGGAGGGCCCCCATTTCATTTTTTCTTATATAAGCTATAAAATATAAAAACGCGTAGTTTTCCTTCATGAATAGGTGGATCTTGACCAAACTTAGTACACATACTTTTAATTATCAATTTCAAATATCGAAAGGTACTGGACTCATATTATCCATATCTCTGTGGCCGGGGGGCCCCATTTTATGTTTTCTATTATAAGCTATATAAATATCAATAGGGTAAGACAATAGGTTAATGCTCTATGTGAATAGATGGATCTAGGCCTAGCTTTGTAGCAATACCCTTCTTAGTCCGTATTAAAATATCGGGGGATTTAAAACTAATAATATCCAATCCATTCAGGGCTTATTTAGAATTTTCTAGAAACTTCGATACTTTAAAAAAGCTCTATCTATGGCATTTTTAAACCAATTTTAATAGGACAAATTTTAAATCCATAATTTATCTGAATGATTTTATAGTACACCCCCCCCCCCCAAATCTCAGACATAACTAAAACTGTACTTTATTAAATGTATCCCCACCGGGCCCCCTATATCATTTTAAATGTACTTTAGTTATAGTAGTACAATTTAGTTATATAATAATTCGCATTCGAAAAATAATTACTTAGAGAAGTAATTTTTTTTTACAAGTTTTATGGAGGATTTTAAATTTAATCTAGAATGTTCTATATTGTTCTACTGGGATATATAATTAGATCTAAAAGCTTAGTCAAACAAAATCGCACTGAGCACGATCCCATAATGAAACAGGATCCTAAACGTACCCATCGGTTACGCGATCCCATCAGGGAACAGGATATCATCGAGATCCCATCGGATAACGGGATCAAATCGCGTTTAGGATCCTAGCAGGAAAAGGGATAACATCGTAAAAGAGAGTTCCTAGGTGGAACGGTATCCCACAGCGAACGGTATCCTAAGGGATCGGTAGCCCATCAGGATCCACTGAGATCGGGATCCCACTGGGATCAAAACACCGACGGGATCGGGATCCCGACGGGATCTGGATTACCCCTGCTTCTGGAGCGACAAGAAAATAGGACCCTACGGGGAACTGGTTCACACCGGGAAAAGGGATTGCGTCAGGATTGGGTTCAGAATGGGATTGTGGACTCATTAGAATTGGGGTCTTACCAGGATCGGGGTACCAAGGACAGACCCTACAAAAAAGTTGACATTTAATTATTTATTTAGGTATTTTTATATAGCGCTTACCTTAAAGCTCTAAGCGCTTTACAATTATTAAAAACATGTAAACATTGATTTAAGACAAGATTGATTTTCGCAAGGGAATGCATTGTATGCTGAATGATAATTGCGCATTGTTTTGCACACCACATTATTTATTGTGTAGTGACGTCATGTTTTTATGCTGTCTTGTCGAGTGCTCCATGTTGGTTGGACTCCATGTTGTTCTCCTACAATAAAACGTTGAACTGACCTTGATGGTTGCCATTGCTTGTTTGATTATCTTCCTAGTGAAGTACCTTAGCAACTTAATATTTTCAACAGGTTATGGGCCCAGGTAGCGTTATCCTGTGCTAAGCTGTTGCTGATTCGATTTTTGTGTGGTTTGTATTCGGAATCGGTGTTCGTAGAATTACCGGAATGACAAACATGAACACAAGCATCATTCCTCTTGTTGGTGCAAATTATTCAACCTGGAAAATTCAATCCCAGATGGCCTTGATGAAGGATGGACTCTGGGGTATTGTTACTGGGTCTGAAGTTGCACCTGACGAGGCTGAATCGGAAAAGGTTGCTAAATTTACTGTAAGGAGAGTTAGGGCTTTGGCTATCATTGTATTGGCGTGGGACACTTCATTGTTGTATTTAATCGGCAATCCAGTTGAACTCAAGATTGTCTGGGAAAAACTGAGGGATCAGTTTCAAAAGAAGACATGGGCTAACAGACTGGCGCCGAGAAGGAGATTACTTACAATTAGAATGAAGGATGGGGACTCTGTGCATGAGCACATTAAAACTCTAACGGAGATTTTCAACGAGCATGCTGTGGTAGAAGATGCCGTTGATGAAGAAGACAGGGTGGTTCGCCTACTTGCTAGTCTAACCAACTCCTACAATATGTTGGTAACTGCTCTTGAGGCTTGCTAAGAAGTTCCAAAGATGGAACTTGTAACTAAACGATTACTTCACGAAGAGCGAAAGATGTCACAACGAAGGGAAGAAGTACCAAGTAGAGCACTTGTGTCGAAGGAGAAGACAATTAAGAAAGGACCCACAGTGTTATTATTGTAAGAGAATTGGACACATTAGAAGAGATTTTCCTGAATTAAAAAGGCAAGAATCAGGCAAACATATTTACAGAAAAAATAAGGTAAATAACACTGAGATTAAGGCTAAGAGATGCTCTAGTAATGAAAGTGTGAGACTGTTAATGAGGCATCGTCATGCCTTAACTACAGGTAATGGTGTCGCGACTTGGATTATTGATTCTGGAGCAACAAGTCATATGTGTTGCAGGAGATCTGAATTTGTCGAGTTATGGAAGAGGCTCCGAATAAAGGACTCGGAGATGGATGGAATCTGAAGGCCTGGTAATAAGCACCAAGAATGCACGCTGCATGATGTGCTTTATGTGCCTGAACTCAAGTGTAATCTGTTCAGTGTTGACCACGCAATTGAGGCTGGAAAGACATTTTATTTCAATAGCAAAGGTTGTGAAATAAAGGATAATAACGGTACACTTCTGGCAAAGGGAGTGCGGTCACGTGGTTTGTACCATTTGTGTCATTATACCAATGAACATCAATGTAATACAGCAAACGGATGTAAAGAAACAAGTGAGGAACTGTGGCATAGACGCTACGGACACCTAGGTTTTCAAAATCTCAAGAAGTAGCTGTAGGAAATCTAGTGGATGGTCTTGAGTATGATGAGCGGTCAAATAGGGAACTGTGTGAACTATGTGCAAAGGGCAAACATCACAGGACCAAGTTTGCGTCAAGTGGAAGGGTAAGAAATGGGATACTTGACCTTGTTCACAGTGATGTGTGCGGGAAGGTCAGCACACAATCACTTGGTGGAGCTCAATATTTTCTTACTTTTATTGACGATTTCAGTCGATAATCTTGGGTTTATATCCTTAAGCACAAGGATGAGGTCTTTACGTGTTTCCTTGAATGGAAAGTAATGATTGAGCAGTCAAATGGAAACAAATCTTAAGGCCCTACGCACCGATAACGATGGAGAGTTTACTTCAAATGAATTTGAAGGTTATTTAAAGAAAGAGGGGATCCATCATGAACTGACTGTTCCGAAAACACCAGAACAGAATGGAGTAGCAGAGAGGAAGAACAGGACTATTGTGGAAGCAGCATGTTCCATGCTGGCTGAGGCACAGCTCCCACGAAAATTATGGGCAGAAGCAGTTTCAACAGCTGTATCACACTTGCACTAAATGGTTCCCGGCTCAAAAACACACACAAATTAACGCCATTGACATATTACTTGACTCCAACTCCAATAACATCTTTTCAAGTGCGTTTTCTGCAACAATACATTTCAAATCTGAACCTCCCTTGCAAAAAACAAATCAAATTCAATTTTACGACTAAACGTTTCGCAACGCAAAACGATCTTCAAAAAACACACACAATTTTACACCGATGACACATTACCTGACTCCTACTCACATTGCACTTCTCCCAGTGCGATTCCTGCAACAAATGAATGATCAATTCATTGATCGTGGGCCCTTAAAAAAAAATAATAAAGTAGAAAAAAAAACTTTTCAATCGTGAACATCTCTTGCTAAGCACAAGAAAAACAAGAAAAGTAATTGTTCCCTAAAAATATATGAGTATCAAAAAATGCAATACGAATTTCACTACACGGGATTTTTTTTTACTAAACACAGCAAAATTCATTCACAACACTTTCAATGCAACATCTGCAAAGCAATGTTGTCCAAACCAACGCAGTCTTAGCAGACATCCACACACTCCTCTTCCCGTTAACACAGGTAATTCTTCACCAAATTTCTGTCTTCACGTCTAAGAGTACAACACTAGGAGTCCAGACAAGCAATGTAAACAATGTAATACGCTATACTGGCCTGCTGAGCATAATACATCCAGCAAGTACTCACAATGCTGCCACAACGTGCAAGGAGATTTATCATCTTTGCGGGAGCCACCTGTGTCTTTAAAACAACTTCATACGCAGCAAGCTTCATGAGCTAACAATTTTAATGAACACATTCGAGAATACAACTCTTCTCTAGAGTTTTTTTTTCCCATGGGTCCACATCTAACTCAACCTCCTGGCCACGGACCATACTGCTTTAAAATACAGGGGAAATGAATCACACAATATCTCCACTATACACCAACACTTCTATCTCTCCAGTGCAAGCAACTGAAGCAATCTTACAAAAAAGAAGCCAACTCTGTATTCAGCGAAATTTTACTTTTCCAACTAGATTCCATGCTAAGAATCACCAACCCCTTCGCTAAATCATAAAAACCCGTGCATGGAATCGCTCAGGCTAATCCAACAGCATGTGCATGAATGGTTTTCAAGGAAACCCTGGGCTTGAGTCAAGACACTACAATGTCCCGACATCTCACACCGATTTGGGGTCGATTTTCGTCAGAGAAGATGGCGAGACCCCTGACGAAAGGGACATTTGCACCCATCCCAGAGGCAACTGCTGTAAGCATTTTTCCACGCTCAATATGAATAGTGATCCTATGGTGTACCCGCTTTTATTTCCTTATGGGGATGCTGGCTGGCACAAAGATTTACAACATGTTCCTGGTAAAAGAACCGTCAAGCTAATCAGGCTTTCTCAATGCCAATTATATGTGTACAGATTAGCAATGAAGAATACATTTACTATTATGCATTGGACTGGAACATTTGCAGAGCATCGTAGATGCGTACGTTAAAATAGAGGGCGCACGCCTCAACTCTCTCAGATTACATCAAAACGATCTGCGCGTGGAACAATTCAAGGGACTAATAGACGCACTTTAAGCCAAGGCTGTGCATAACACTGCACGCGTAGGCAACATAACCATTTTACCGTCGACATTTCAAGGAAGTCCCAGATAAATGCAACGAAACTATCAGGATGGCATGACCATAGATATTCCGTACATTCGCAAAGCCTGATTGATTTTTCACTTTCACATGCAATATTAAACATGTTTTTTAAAAATTAATAGTACGAAGTAAAAAAAAGAAAACGGTCAAGCAGTGAGCGTCATGCGTGACGGTTGAACGAAGGTTAAGAAGGTTTTATAAGCACGTTTTATATTAATCAATAAAGAGCCACGGGTATAGTGTAGGACTATCGCAACGACTATCTTCAGGACTGTATGTATAAGAATGTTTGTAGTAATGCTGTAGGACTATCTGTAGACATGCATGCAGATATGTCTCTTGGACTGTTGTTTAAAGGTCAGCAAGAAGGGTGTAGGACTGTCTTTATGCCTATTGTCTAAAAGCCGGCGTATATTATAGATAATAAGAAGTTGACTTTTTTAACACTTGAACACACGGGTATTTATCTAAATACCCGGGCAAGTGTAAAAAAAACTGCATTCAGTTAAGCTATAAACTTATAATGACGTATGCTACGGCGCAATCTCGTTTCTTGGTTTGATCCCGATCCCATGGGATCCCGTTTTCTTGTGGCTCCGGGGTCAAGGGAAATCCAGATCGCGGTGGGATCCCGATCCCGATCCCGTCGGTAACTCGATTCAGTGGAATCCCAATCTCGGTGACATCCCACTTCGCAGTAAGATCCCGATCTAGGGGCGTTCCGATCCCGGCAGGCTACAAAGCACAGGGACAATTTGGAAAAACCTTGCTTCTCCAATGGACAGATGATTTGGCCTGCTCTCGCGTCGTAAAAAGCGTTGTTAATATAAAAGCTGTTCAAGAACTTAAATGCAAACGGTTTCTTTTCTTGAGTGGCATTGCAACTCGCTAGTTTATAAATATATATAATTTTTTTTTTTAATTTTGTAATAAGTTTTGCATATTTACTTGTTAAAAAATATATTTGCTCTTCCAATATTTAAATATGTTACCTTTCAATTTATATTGCAGGGGCTCTCAATCAGCGATGTAGTGTAAGGGAGTGCCAGAAGACCCAGAAAATCACACCTGTTCATTATGAACTCTCGGAAAATATGTTTTATCATCAAAAATGTGGCGCATTGCTGCCAACTGGTTAAAAAAAATAAAACTCTATAGTGTATACTTTGCATTGTTTATCAGAGAAAATAAAGAGGGCCAGGATTTCATCCCTAACTTCTTGTTCCAATAACTATTGTTGTTTTTGTTCTTTTTATTGATGAGACCATTGAACACTGTACCATCGTTTTATTGATGAGACCATTGAACACTGTACCGTCGTTTTATTTATGAGACCATTGAACACTGTACCATCGTTTTATTTATGAGACCATTGACCATTATTCTAATAATCTTTCGGAATTTTAGTTTTAAAAACAACAAAATTTCAGAGAATTTAACACGGGGAATGAATGTTGCTCGGTTAATCGGGGAATGTTATTAACCGAAAAGAAAATAGTGAGTATTGTGACGTGACGTACGTTGTCTAGGGGTCGGTCCCCTGCGTACTAGCCACAGAACAAATTTTCAATGGTCTAGAACCCCTTTATTTCCAGCTCCTACAGAGCTGACTCTTGCTCCAAGTATCAACAAACAATTCAGAGATTCAGGTTTTCTTATTTATTGGCTATGTGTGCCTAACAATGGAAAACTTTATTAGAAATAAGCTCTGGTGTTCAGAACAAAAGAAACTCCACATACTATACAACACAGTTAAAGTTACACAAGTCCTCTTCCATCCGTAGAAAAACTCACTGCCTTCACAAGACAAAAATCATACACCCTATCCACAGCACTCGCCAGTGTTCACTCCTTAAAAAAAAACAAAAAAAACACACACACACGTGGTTCCTCCCGACACAGCACACCGGTCATACCTTGACCGAGAAAAATAAAAACTCGTGGGGCACACGGGGAAAATAAACTCACCCACGATTGGTCAAATTAACATTATAAAAGTTGACACAGAAAAACTCACGCGATCTGACCGTGATAAGTATGATCTACTCAGGTGATAGATCATTAAATTCATACCAGCCTTTTACACCGAATTCAACACAAGTCTTTTCCCACTAGAAATGAAACTAAAATATATCAAAATGATAAACGTTTAACTGGACACATGTGGAACGCAGCATGCTATTAGAAAGAATAATAGACAACAATCCGAGAACATTGACCACTGCTACAGAATAGGCACACACGCCAAAGGTAAACTAGACAATACCTCATAATTACAGTCAAAATACGCCATGAAGTAATTGGCGGGAAGTGGGTTCATTAGATTCTTACTCTCTCAAATACACACCACGCACATTATAAACACAAATGCATATAAATGAAAGGACTGCTTTCAAGCTTAGTAAATGAATGAAATAGCAAAAGGAGATCTGGAGTGCCAAGAATGGTGTGACGGTAGTGCGCAAATGCTGGTGTGACGCTAGTGTGCAAATGCTTGTGCGAAGTTAGTGTGTAAAAATGGTGCGAAGGTAGCGTGCAAAGGCTGCTGTGACGGTATTGTGCAAAGCCTGGTGCTACGAAGGTATCACTCCCTGATAACAGAATGTTTTAGAATGCTTTGTTGATCATTTCTGTTAACAAATGTCAGCTAATTGAGATATTATGGAAAGAACATATCATTATGTCATCTTTTTCCTCTTTAAACCTGGGCTGTATGTATGGAGTCAGTTAACAATGCTTTATCAAAATCCATTTACTATTTTTTTCAGAACCATGACCAAAAAATTACAAATACAAAAACGAAATTAAAGAAGCCTGCAAGAGACTGTTGTTTATTATCCTGACTACATTGAGATGCATACGAAATGCACTATTTATTCATGTATTGCAGGGTATAGTTTGAAAATTCAAATAAAACATTTCAAAAATTTTAATCAAAGCTAAGGCAATAGATAAAAATAAAATACCAATCAACATTTTTCTAATAAGAATATATTTGAGTGTCCTATAACAATGATCTCTCACTGTGAACTCGTATAATGAATTGTAATGGCGAACTCAAACATTTGACAAAAGTAAAAGAAAAAGTTAACAACTATATACATTTCTGTGAAAACTAAGTTTATTGTTGGCATGACCCTTTGATGATGATAATAATAGATGTTTTTTTAAATATTTCCCACAGTAAGTGCGTCTACTCTGTAGGGAAAGAATCAGACGCTTTCAATCTGAGTTAGAATTGTATTTTCTCCAGGTACTTAGCAACATTAGATTGGAAATTAAAAAATACAAGCAAGCAATTTTTAAAAGTGTGTTTGTTTGGAATGGTACCAATTTACAATGCCTGGTATTTTTGTTAGAAGAAAAGTTTCGTTCCTTAATGAGAATCAGGGGCGTCTCAGAAGTCGGAGTTAATAACTTAACGATTACAAGGTATGATGTCATTGCTTTACTTGTCTAGGCTATGCAAGGGACTGAACTCATTATTTACTGAAAACCCCCTCAATCGACCGAATTATAGAATCCAATTCATTTCTTGAGCAATCACTGGGTTTGAGAAGACCCCTTGCACAAAAATTTGAATTTATGTTGATTAATTAAAATAATTATTATTTAATATTATCATTTAATATATTTATTATGTATATTAAAGTATAAAGACATGTTAATAAATTGGAAACTAAAAAAATGAAGGGGGTGGGGGGAAAGCCAATCTTATTTTAATAAATGTTATAAATTTACTGATAGTTTATATGTTAATATTTAATTTAAAGTAAATAAATGGCAGAAAATTGGGAAGTAGGGGGGAGGGGACAAGGAAAGTGCGTTTTTAAAAAAGACAAAAATTTAAAAGAAGTTTTACTAGAATTTAAAATAGAGAATGTTAAATTAAGAGCTATTTTGAAAGAAACAAAAAATCTCGTCTGCCTAGGAGAATTTAAAGGGGGTTAATCGGGCACTGCGATACTTCTCAAATCTATAGCGTAAGATTTAATGAAGAAATGAATTATTTTTTAAAGATAAAACGCTTGTCTATTTTTTTCTGGTTGTTTGATTCTTTTTTTTTTTTACAATTTGAAAATTGTTAAGAAACAACGTAGGAAAAATTGCCTTCTCATTTGCTAATAAACCAATTAAAATAGTAAAATTCCTCGCAAACAAATTTAAAAAAACGAAATTAAAAAAAAACAAAACTTGACAACATTGCTGACAATAGTTGACTTTATGACTCACCAAACTTGACTACGTGGTTAACCAAACTTGACAACATGGCTGACCAAATTAGACTACGTCGCTGACCAAACTTTACTACGTGGCCAACCATATTTACAACATGTCTAACCAAACTTGACAACATGGCTGACTAAATATGACAACATGGCTGACTAAACTTGACATGATGGATGACCAAACTAGACAATATGGCTGACTAAACTTGACTAGGTGGCTGTCCAAACTTAATAACGTGGTAGACCAAGCTTTTAAATTTACCTGACAGACAATACGATAAAGAGAAAAAATTCTATAAATAGGAAACTCTTTCCTGGGCCGTTCACTTCAAATCCCGATCCACGTGTAGTTGGCTCAGTGTTAGGGGTTGAGTCCTTATCAATGACACTTGAATAGGTTGTTTCAGTGGGCTGGAGGGTGGTTGATGTCAAGTAACACGAAGCTGTTGTTGTAGACAAGGAATGGGGATACTTATTTTAGCTGTCTTTTTATGCAGTTTGTGTTAAATAACTGTGTAAATTGATCAATACATATGTAACATGTATGTAGTTGTTAGTATTCTTCTTACATGTGGTATTAAACGCGTAAGTATGAATCAAATTTAATCGTTTTCTATTTTTGAGATAGAAATGCTGAAAAAGAAAATAGATTTGGATCTCCTCCTCCAGATAGGTTTCTTCTTGTCTTTCAGTACGCAAAGCTTAGGATGTTGTCGTTTTATTATGATGTTAGAGATAGGTATATATACAGGACTCAATTTTCATCTCTTTAAAAATGGATAAAGACAGTTTATATTTAGCGCTTAGTACGAATAAATTAGCCAACGCCGTAGACCCCCCCCCACCCCCATCCGACAAGACTTTTACGCCGTCTACGACAAATGGTTTCCCTTCTGAAGTTTTCGATTACCATAAAGCAAACTTCACAAGTGCACCGTAGGATTAAAGTGTCAGGCTTGTAGGAATAGGAAACTTTAGGAAAAGCGAACTCCGGATCTTTTTAAAGTAAGATACGAGGCGTTGGGTTTGATTTCACTCTTTAGCCAAATTAACCACTGCTTAGGGGATTACAACGAAACAAGCACAAACGGACTCACAAAGCACCAAAACACCCGAGACAAGACACAGTTTATTAATGTCCTAACAACACAACAAGCATTTCACTCTTTAGCCAAATTAACCACTGCTTAGGGGATTACAACGAAACAAGCACAAACGGACTCACAAAGCACCAAAACACCCGAGACAAGACACAGTTTATTAATGTCCTAACAACACAACAAGCTGGGGGTTGGGAAAACATAATTTTAAAACACAGGGATCAGCGATATATACATACACTCAACATAGACACTCTCTTAAATTTTTTACATAAAATGACAAATACACGCAAACAATTTTACCACATATCATCTGGCTCTTTGTTTTGTTAGGTAAGTATTTTTGGAACCTCTAGGACATGTGCAACAACACACACACACACATCAGTGAGTGATATGACTTTGACTTGACGACTTCGACATAAGGGCTAATTTTGTAATTAAATCCTCATATTTATATTGCACAAAATACATAATATATTTTGTGATTCTTTGACTCTGTAAATAATACTTTGAGTCTTTCATGATAAATCAGTACTTTAAAATGAACATAAAAATTGTAAAATTTTCTCATCTTAAATATATCTTGTGACAATCAATACTTAAATATGTAAATAACTTGATTTAAAATTTCTAAAACATGCTAATAGCTTTTCTTACAAATAAATATAAAACTCAAATATAAACGTATCTGCCGTCTCTTTTTTATATATATCTATGATGTCTTTAATCTATTGTGTGTATATCTATGTTGTCTTTAAGTTGCACACTATTTTAAAAAGTTTTAAAAAACCCATACGCCATTTAAGCTCCTTAAAAAAAACCTCTATACTCAGTTTAGAGCTTTTAAAAAACCAAAACAGCTTCAAATGAAAATAAA